TGGGCCCTCAACTTACTTCTCTAGAAAATGGGATTTATGATCACTAATGATTTGTAGGGGTTAACTTGTGCTAAAAACCATTGAGATTTTGAGAGCACTTTGGTGGCAGAAATATCCTTGTATAGCTTACCTTACAAAACTGTCATGGACACCAAATGAGATGGAGGCTGTAAAGTGCCACACAAATATAAGTTATTTTTATCATAATAATGAATACCATGGTGAGTCATCTGTATTTGACCTTATCTTCTTAGGAAATATTAGATATCACAGGAGGAGATTAATTTACCTTATCTTTTTCAAATAGAATCAATGACTGGAAAAAGACAGTTAGGGCCAGGATATTTTCCTTCTACATGCTGACCCAGGCCAAAAATGAAACTGAATCTATTGGTCTGTTTTTTTAAACTACTTGAATGTTGATTGGGGCTATAGCCCTGCTTTCTCATCATCTGGCACACATCAGCATCCCACCTAGTATTTAGTATATTACAGACATGCTTCTCTTTGTGCAGTAAAATTTATCCCTGAGAAGTTGTATGTAAACAGAATTTTTATAAGTAGAATCATTTGGCATATGTCAGAGAAGAACGTTATTCAAAGGGACCTTGAGGTCAAGTTTCTTTTGTGGTGTGAACAGCTACCTTTTAATTTGGCTCCATTTGGAAAGTTGAGGTATCCCCTGTACTAACCAAAGCAAGTGGATCAATGACATATTCTGTTTTGTTCCTCAGAACTAGTCCTAAGTAAAGGATGTAAAGTCCTAAGGAAGTTCTAAGTAAAGGATTGTAAAGGATGGAAAGTTCGTTTTGGGGCATCTTCTGATTAAAAAGTGGGAGATTTGGGACTTGAACCTCAGGTCTTCTGGCTTCAGAGTCACTGCCATGTTTCTGCTACATTATGTTTGTATGTTATATGGCAACATTGCTAATTCAAGGGGGTTGTTTTTGTCCAGTTGTTTCTGATACTTTGTGATTCCATTTGGGGTTTTCTTGGCAAAGATACTGGAGTGGTTTGCCATTTCCTTCTCTAGCTCATTTTTCAGATGAGGAAACTGAAGCCAACAGGGTTAAGTGACTTGCCTAGGGTCATACAGCTAATATGTGTGTGTGTGTGTGAGGCTGAATTTGAACTCATATCTTCCTGATTCCAGGCCCAGGACTCTATCACTGTGCCACCTAGCTGCCCCAAAGGCAGGCACTATACAAATGCTTATTTCCTTCTATTCCCTTCAAGAGGAAAAGGAGTGTTCATGCTTGGCTTGGGATTCACTTCCACTTTGAAGGAGCCACTAGTTAACTGGAGCAAAATAAGTGTCATATTTACATAACCTACAGATCTTCTGTGGCCTGAAACAGTGGAGTATAATCCAGAAGAGAGATGGTAAGAGAGACAGAGAGAGAGAAAAAAAAAAAGAGAAAGAAGTCAGTCTTGTAGGTATGAAAGTCTCACCAACCACATAGGCTTCAGTAATTCAAATTATTTGGGAAGGTTTCCTCTCTTTCTTATATAATAATAATAATAATATTAATAAAAACATTTACATAGCAATTACTATGTGCCAGGCACTGTACTAAGCACTTTACAAATAGTACCTCTTTTGATCCTCACATCAACCCTAGAAGGTAGGTATTGTTATTATTCCCATTTTACAGTTGAGGCAAAGCTGAGGCAAACTGAAGATAAGTGACTTTGTCAAAGTCACACAGCTTATGTGAGATTGAAGGCTTGATTTGAACTCAGGTCTTCCTGACTCTAAACCCAATGCTCTATCTACTATGCCACTTAGCTGCCTCTATTATTTCCTCTCCATTCTCCTCAACAAATACCCATATGTTGACATGATGAATTCTTGTTCTAGACCACCTAGGCTGCCTATGGATGGGTCAGAGGACACATATCAATTATATCACTCCAATGAAAAAGGCAGCAAAACTGGTTGCTGCTTCCAAAAGGACTCAATCAATTCAGTCAAAATGGCCAATGCATGGGTGCAACAAAAGAGGGAGATTGGGAAAGGCAGGATTTCTGGGGAGATGAAGTGTCTTGTTTAAAGAATAGATCACCTTGATTTCCTATCTCCCACATCCATAGCTTCAGTCTGTGGAACTGTGTATTAGAAAGAATGCTGGATTCAAAACTGGAGAAACTTGATCTCTCGTGGAGATTGGCTACTTTCTAGATGTGAGAGCCTGAAGTCAGACCACTACCTCTTTCATTTCTCTGGGCTATGAGAAAATTTTACAAAGTGAGTTGGAAGATTCTTTGGAACTTTAATCTCATGATAGATTGAATTCAAATGTGTAACAGAATGGAAGTGTTTCAGGACAGTCCAGTGGCAACAGCAATGGATTTGGAGGTTGAGGATAAGGGTTAAAACCCCACATCTGCCACCTCCTTTGGCCTTGGGCAAGTCACTCAACCTAATTTAACTTCAGTTTCCTCACTAGTAATGGACTAACTGCCTCTAAGATCCCTTCAAGGTCTAATGACTTAGATTTTCTAGATCTACAATCCTATGATATTTGATGGTATTACCTCATAAAAAGGGAGTAACTCTTTTTCTCACTGTCACATTTTTAAGCTTAGTATTAAAAGAAAGAAATTAAATACACAAATAAGATTTATACTGAATCGTCTTCAGAGAACTTTATTATCAATCACAAAAAGAGAAGGCATTGTGATTATCATCTTTTGGGCCTTTAGAATAGAGCAAATGTATGGGGAAATAAGGTGACTTACCCAAGGTGACTCAGAATTTGCATTGGCACCAGGTAAGGCAAAACAATTACTTCGGTGAAATTGCTTCTACTGAGCGGCATCTTAACTGTTCCAGTTGAGATGTCTGGCAAACATTTCCTAAGGGCTATTTATTCTTTACTGTTGAAGAAAACCTTCAAAGACTGGGAGGGTCACTTGTCCTCCCCCCACTCTTTAATGGCTGTCCTTAGGGTCCCAAACTATTTCAGTATACCTTCAAATTGCCATATGTGGCTTACTGAAAACTTAACTTAGTAAAATATTCATGTAGATTGGTGCAAATATTTTCAACAGTGTTTTCTTAGCAGCCCAGGGGGAGGTCTGAAGTGGCAAAGAGGCAATGAAAAACAACAGTAAAAAAAGAGTTAACTTTTGTATGGTGTTTTTTAAGGTTTTCAAAAACACTTAAAATAAATTATCCTCACAACAACTCTGTGAGGTAGATGATATTATGACCCCCACTCCCCATTTTACAGGTGAGGAAAGTGAGACTAAGAGTGGTTAAGTGCCTTGCCTGGGGTCATAAAGCTGGTGAATATTTGAACAGGATTTCAAATCCTTGCCTTCCCAACTCTAGGTCCAGCTCATTCTACCTGCTACACCATGCTGAAAGTATTTTCTTCATAAGGGGTTACTGTCACTTGGGAAACAGTGTGTAATTTGGAAAGATGCTAAAGTTAGGACATCTGGTTTCAAACCTCTACCCTAACACTAGCTCTGTGATCATCATACAATCTTCCCGAGCCTCAGTTTTCTTATCTCTAAAATGGTGATATTTTTGTCTGCTATCTCAAATGGTTGTTATGGGGGAAACCACTTTTCAAACCTTAAAATGATTATTGAAATCTGACCTCCTATTCCAATAAGAGTATGGGCCAGGTTGGTTATCACATCTGGGCACACCTAGTTCACCCGAGCAAACTAAACATGCCTTCTCCTATGCTGCTGATGTCATTACGGAGGTAGGGCCAGCAGTGAAAGACTAGAGTAGAAGAGATTTGGGTTTATATGGTAGGGAGGTGGGGAAATGTGACAGGAGAATCATGAACAGAAAGAGAGAGGGCCTGCAATGCAAGCTACCATTTTGTTTTCTTCACACTTGGTACTCCCAACAGACTTTGGTGGAGAAGGGGCCATGGCAGTAGCAATCAGCTTGGAGAACTTCCATGTGAGACCTCATAATCTACCAGTTAGGGACCCTGGTCTCTGCAGTGGAGGGTGTTGAACACGTCTACAGACAATAATATTCCTATTTCTAACTTAATTCATTTACTCTTCCTTGTATTTACTTGCTTATATTTCATTTAAGCTTCAAAATGCACTAACCAACTTTTTCCTTGGTCCATTCTCTACCACATTCCCCTACCTCCTGCCCCCTTGATGACCCATTAGTTCATCTTTCGGTCCCCCAAACTGTTCTCCCTCCCTTGTTTCAAATCCATTTCTCTAATTTCGTCTTTCCTTTGGATGGTTGAACTCCAGGTGGCATTCACCCTGACTACATATCCCTGAAAAACTTAACCCCCAAATAAAGAAGACTGAAAACTCATGCCATATCTTTATTTCTTCCCATTTCAATTCAACCTCCCAATGCTATTCTTCTATTTGATTTTTTACTAGCCGCTCTGAAGTCTGGCATTGCCATATGGCAAATGCAAATTTCTGAGCAATGATCACAATGCCTGGCATACAGCAGATGCTCAATAAATGCTTATTGACTTGAATAAAAGTAAATTAAGGAAATTTCTAGTTGAGGTAGAAGGAAATTCTCTTTTGTCTACTTGTGAATTTGGGCTATTTCCTATCTGCTGTGCAGACTGGACTCTCAGTGAAGGTTTTCAGGGGAAAGATTTTGCACTTCAACAAGCATTTAAAAATCTCCTACTATGAGCCAGACATTATGAGCCAATGAAACAGTCCCTATTCACAAAAAGCTCACATTCTGGTAGAAGAGAAAAGAATTACATTTTGGGCTTTTTGTCCCCCTGAAGTCTGCAAATGAAAGTCCACATGTGAGCTTTGCAGAATAGACAAGGTGTCCCAAACATCTATGCAATTTAAAACTTTAATAGCAGATAACATCTCAACAAGCTGAGAAATATTTCAAAATAAAGCTACCCCCAATTTCCTTCCATTCTTACTGTCTCTCTTTTTTTTCCCTGTATCCTAGCCCAGCCCACCTCCTGTTTTGGTATTGCCTCCTCTCCTCCCTTTGCCCAGGCCCCACCCGTCCCCCTTACCTGGGTAGTCAATGTTTGTCACTATTAAGTAGACAGCCAAGTCCACTAACAGACAGTCACAGTGCCAGGGGTTTCCTTCCAAATGCAGAGTCTTGAGATTAAACAGGTGGTGAATGGTCTGGGCATCCAGGAATTCCAAAGCCGTGTTGCTCAGATCCAGGTGTCTCAGGGCGGTGTTGTTGGCGAAGGTGTATTTATCGATCTCTGTGAGGTGGGGGTTGTTGGAAATATTTAGGATCACCAGATTGTGGAGCATGCTGAAACCATATGGGGAGATGTGACTGATGTTGTTGAAACTGAGGTCAAGGTAGATGAGTTTGTAGACTCCGATGAAGGTGAAATCCATGATCTCTGTGATTTGGTTGAATGTACAATCTAGGTAGACGAGGTCATTCAGGAGACCTAGGTTTACGGCTGGCAAGAAGGTGATATTGTTTCCTTTCAGCACGAGTTGCCGAGTGGTCATTGGCATATCAAGGGGATACTCCATCAGGCCAGAGCAAATCACCTCTAGTAACCTGCAGGTACATTTTTTTGGACAAACTTCATTCCCAGCAACCGATATCATGCCGCAGGAGAACAGCAACCACCAGGGCCAATGGCCTGTCGCAAAGGACATAATAAGTTGTTGTGGCTACCTTTGTCCCACCTTGCTGTCTGAGCTGAATGCAGGCAAGTGTGTGTGTGTGTGTGTGTGTGTGTCTGTGTGTGTGGGGGGCAGGGAGGATGGTGAGGTGAGAAGGGTAAAGGGAGGGAGGCGAGTGGGGAGAGAGAGCTGAAAGGACTATAACATTCTATCTTTGTGCAAGCAATTTTTCCATTACAGGGCAACAGAGCAGAAGTTGAGATGCGAGGCCTGATGCTGCACAGTCCTCTGTTTGGGAGCCCTTCAGATCGCTCACTCACACTGCCTCCTGGCACTTGGCCCACTTGGCTGCTTGAGCATTATTCACCCTTTCTCTAAGTTTGCAAGTGAAGGGGAGCCAGGGCAGAACCGCATGCCACTGTGGTTGCCAGGTGACACCTTTATGATGTCAGCAGCTGCAAAACAGAGCTTGGCTATGGGAAAAAGAATTCTCCCCTGTGCAGCTGGGGCACCCGGCTGGGGGTGGTGTCTTCTTAGGTAAGCTGTGTGGGTGCAAGGCTCTGTAGCTGTTTGGGACTCTTCGGGAAGGGTGTCTGCAATGGGGATCCCTATGCTGTGCCTCTATCTGTGGATGTGTGGAAGAGTCTATATGTGATGTTGTTCTGTGTGTAGGTATGCAGAAAAAAAATTAGGCAGGACTTCAGAAGTCCATAGAACAGGCAGATACCTGTTTTCAGGGTTAGGGTTCTAATGGGTACCAGTGTTAAGATGCTGTATATAGAAGAGGATGGGGGAATGAGTCCTGGGTTGTATGAGGGCAAGAGAGACATCCGGTGATAAAGATAAATGTCATAAATGGCAGTGTTATATAACTATGAGCTATTATTATTAATATTAAATAATTTTAGGTGCATGTAAATCTCTGAGTAGAATATGGATGTTTGTGATAACTTTCAGTACTTATGAAATTATTTTTTAAGTACATCTTCCTCTTCTTCATAATGACTAGTTGGATGAGATGCTCTCCAAGGAGCATCTTTTTCTAGTTCTATCATTTATGATTCAATGGTGATAATCATAAGGATAACAATAATTATAAAAACTGACTCTGCCACAAAGTCCTACTTTATGGTAACAGAGTTTTAAACCCAAATGACTTCATTAGAGCTGCACAGAACAACAGCAACACATTGTGGAGTAGGAAGGCAAGGCATTTTTAATCTTCATTTTAACAATTAGGTCAGAAAGGTTCGGTGACTTGCTCAGAGTCACACAGTAAGCAGCAGAGCTGGGGTCAGACCCCAGATCTCCTGTGCTGTCTCCACTGTACTGCCATAAGCATAATCAGCTTTAGAAAACCCTTTCCCCCCCAAAATGGATAAATTGGAATGCAATTGATGTAAATGTGCATTTTAAAAGTAACCTTCCTTTTACCAAAGAATTCTCCCGGGGTACTTTAAAAAGTGAGCTCTTCAGTGCATTGAAGGGTAGTCAGCTAGGTGGCTCCATGGATAGAGTGCTTGACTTGGAGCCAAAAAGACCTGAGTTTAAATCTGACTTTAGACATTTACTAGCTGTGTAACCCTGAGCACATTCTTTGTGACTTGGTTTCCTCATCTGTAAAATGGGGACAATAATAGCACCTACCTCTCAGGGTTATTGTTGTGAGGGTAATATGAGATAATATTCATAAAGTGCTTTGCAAACCTTAAAGAGCTATATAGATTCTAGTTATTATTATTATCATTATCATTATAGATTATGGTGTATTTGACCAAGAAGGGAATAAAGGAGGAAAAGGTTGCCATCTGAATGAGAGAGGGGCAGAGAAACTGGAAGCTAAAGAGATAAAAGAGATCAATCCCCTCTGACATGGATATACAAACCCAGGGGAAAAGGGGATGTGGTTTACAAAAGTCTGACTTTTGAACAACTTATAGGAAACACATAACAGTAGTGTAAGTGTGAATAATAAATACACATACATAGGTGTGAAGGACCTCTCTGAGCCTGGATTATCCTAGTGAGACAAGAAAGAGCAAAGGCAGGGGGGTGTATTGTTAGTCAGCTATATTCATCCATGAAGGTTTTTTTTTAACTAAGCACTCACTGGGTTCTTGATGCTGAATTAGGCGAGATATGAGAGACTCAGAGGAGTACTATCAAATTGAAAGTGACCTTATTGAAGCAGATAGCCCAGATGCTTAAAGTAATGGCCCTAATGAAAGGTGTGCACGTACTGTTCCTATGCCCAATGCTTTCTTCTCCATCATGCCCAGAGCTCAACTATCCAAGAGTTTAGGCAGTAGTCACCCTGATTCAAAAAGGCAATGTATTGCCATGGAAAGAGCATTCAATTTTGAACCCCAAGACCTGAGTTAAATCCTGGCTTTGCTACTTAGAAGCTGTGTGACTTGAGGTGAGACCTTCAGCCTCCCTGTGCCTCATCTATAAAATGAGGTGATGGGACTAGATGGCATCTAAGGTCCCTTCATTCTCTGAATCTGTGATCTTATGAACCAGAAAAAAGACCAATAGTTCACATTTTAGAGGACTTCACAACCGGCTTTCCGCCTTACAACCCAGGGTAGGGGGAGGGGGTAGTTTGTGCAGGGGTTTCTTTCATATTATAGATGTGTAAACTGAAGTTCACAGATTCTGGTTTGCTGAAGGTCACATGGCTAGCAAACCCATCATAGAATTTTAAGGCTGAAAGGGACCTCAGAGATCTTTTAATTCAATAAGCATTTCCTCTGTCTTATGCCTTTTCCCCCTTCCTTCCTTACCTTCCTCCCTTTCTTCCCTTCTCTTCCTCCCTCCCTTATTTTCTTCCTTCTTTCCTTTTTTCCTTCTTCCTTCTTGCCTTCCTCTTTCCTTCCTTCCCTCCTTTCCCTTTTCCTCCTTTCTCCCTCTCTCCCTTATTTCTTTCCTTCCTTCCTCCCTTTCCTTCTCCTTCCTTCCTCCCTTCCTTCCCTCCCTCCTTCCTCCCTTCCTTCCCTTCCTTCCTCCCTTCTGTCCTCTCTTCCTTTCTTCCTTCCTACATTCTACTGGGGGAAGAGTGTAGTTTAACCTGTATTTGAGCAGGAATCTCCTTGCCAAGTGGCCAGTAGATTTCTTTCCAGTAGACAACATTCTCTCCCTAAAATGCTATTATTGGCCTGGGCTTGTGACTTCACTGGCATAGGGAACTCCCAGTAGAAAATGCCTTTGGCCGGTGCAGATCAGAGCCTGTTCTGCAGCTGAGAGTCCCACAGAGCAGTCTGGGGGTAATGAGAGGTTAAGTCACTTCACCAGTATAATATGGCTAATTAGCCAGTATTTGGCAAAGGTGGAACTTGAACCCAGGTCTTCATGACTCTGAGGTCAGCTTTTTATGCATTATGCCAACTGCCTCTATAATCATAATAAAAGTGCTGCTGCTACTTGAAAATGCTGCTTAGCAAAGCTTATATAACTTGATCCGGGAGATCTTAAGAAAAAAATTAATTTTCAAAATTATGTCTGTCTCCATTGATTGAAGAGCCTGTTGGCTGGAAGGGTTTGTTTAACCAGTAGCTACATGTTGTAGTGTATAGAGTGCTGGGCCTTGGTTCAGGGCTGAGTTCAAATCCAGCTTCAGATACTTGATACATGTATGTTCCTGGGCAAGTCAATTAACCTCTATCTGTTTTGCTTTCCCTATCCGTACAAATGAAAATAGCAATGGCACCCACCTCCCAGGGTTACTGTGAAGATAAAATGAGATAATGCTTTTAAAGAACCTTGCAACCCTTAAAGTGCTATATAAATGTTACTTGTCATTAACCAATGGTAACTTGGTCTGATGATGCTCACATGTAAGGACATAACAGAGGGTGCTGATTTTACAGTTGGAATACCTGGGGTTGAATGGCAGCTAACTATCTCCTGACTACCTATGTGACCTGGACAAAGAACCTTAAGCCCTCAGGGCCTCAGTTTCCTCACCTGTGAAATGAAGGGATTGGCGGCATGGTACCGTGGAAATATTTTTGGCTCTAGAGTAGAAGAACTTGACTGTCTGAGATGTCTATGGATGGTGACCCAGACTCTGAACCCCCAATTCCCTCTCTCCCTCTTATAAAAAACGCTAAGTTAGCTATGCTCAAAAAAGTCTCTGATAATCTAATTCATACTGATGTGTTAATGACTGATAGCATAATATGTGCCCCCCCACCTCAGGAGTATTTGCATTTTAACATGGGTTAACCCCCAAAAAGATATTTTAGGCATCAGCCATGGAGACCTGTGGAGGAGATATTTTGGGTATGGAGAGTCTTAAGGGGTGCCTCTCAAATCACATCATTTAGGCTCACTCAGAAAATCAACCTTCTGAGGTTGGGTTCTCTTTTTTTAATTCAGTTTTGATTGAAGCTGAGCACACTTAACCAAAGCTATGTTGGATTAGCCCACCTCTGAACCTTTAACAGGGACCATCCTTCACCCTCTACAGTGGGGATATCAAGGGACCTGGCACATGCGGGTGTAATCTGAAGCACAATCACATTAGAACAAACTCATTGGCTTATCATGGCCTTGGGTAGAGATATATTTTTAGCTCTTTGTGTCAGCAGCACTGCTCCTCCAGATTAATACTCCTTTCTCAGGTGCCAGAGTGTCTCCAGACATTTTCCCCAGGGGCCTGAAAGACATCATCATTGTGCAGTGGAAAGAGCACTGGGCAGGGAATGAAAAGATTTTTGTCAGGGTCCCATGACTTGAGTGTCAGAGGCCCTTGCCCTTCAACCCAAGGGCCCTCAAGAGAATAGAGAAGGACTCAGAAGATCTGGTCAAGGACATGGCTATTGCAGTTCCTGTGATGCAGATTTATCACCCCCAACCCTTCTACTGTCTCCACGCCCAAGACTCTAGGCAGTTTGCAGTATGGCCCCGGTATGCAATATTTCTTTGGAGAAACACACACATGCACATCCACACACAATATGAAGGGATACTGAGACTTATGGGGATAGTGACCAAACCTTTGTAATGATGCTACTTTGCCTTGAAGAGGT